CAGACACGTTGATAACCAGAACGACCACGGTTCCATAAGAAATCCATGGCTTTGAGCAGAAAAGCAGAGAATGGGTCTGTTTGGCTCGAACCATATGTGTCGCTTGGGACTCTTGCTTGAGCGGAAACAATAACTAAAGCTAGCAACAAAGGGAGAAAGACAGTGATGGACATGTTTTTGCAGACTTGCCAGTCTGTCTGGTTCGAGCCATATTGAGGAAGTAGTGAGAGAACCAGTTATGCTCTTACTTCTTCTATATAATGATGATTATTGTATCGAAGAAAATGCAATGCTGATTGAAACTGAAGTGGATTCATGTAAATACTGAGCGTAGAATTAGCCAGGAGTAAAATCCAGTGAACTTGTAACTTATAATCTCGTGCAGTTAGTGCGTACGTGATTAAAAAAGAATTGGGAACAAGGATGAGCAATGATTAGGTTTATCTAAATAAGGTAGAAGCAAGTGATTGGTGGCCGTTCGTTTCGAGGATAGCTTTCCACGTCAGTATATAATGGAGCTGAGCTTAGAAGCCCCATCAAACTTCGCATCAGTATGTGGGGAAAATTGAAGGAGCTCACTACTGTCCCGAAAGCCTTTTGTGACCTCTAGCTAGTCTGGTTTTTGGGTACATATGTGCATGTCATCAAGTTGGACCACTCCATTGATCAGTCCCATCCATGCCCCGTGATTCACGTGCATACATATACATACATACAGATATATATATATATATATATATTCACACACACATATCCTCTCATGGAGAGATTATTGATCACATAATCCATGATCATATATACAAAATATAGGATCCAGTTATGCATAGTGTGTGTACACCTTCATCTAGTGAAGTGACACCGAGGGCAACAGGGGAGAAGAAGCAGAAGAGAAGGATCACAATAAGGCAATATTGAGAACAACTCATGTTGTACTTCGTGCTGCTTCCCCTTGGAGTTACCTGTGAAAACCTTTCAGATGTATTGCTCCCTCCGGTTTAAAATATAAGCTAAACTTTGTTAAAGGAAATCGGTTTTTTTTTATAAGATAACATTTATTTTTATCTAAGTATTTAATGAGTTTTTTAATTTTATCCTCATATATTCTCTTTCTTTTTTAATTCATTTATTGCTCTTTTTTACTTGTTCTTTTTATTAATAAGAGTATATTTGGAAAAAAAATACATGTCTTACATATTTATTATTTTAAAATGATTTTAACTAATTTCTTAATAAACATAAATAGATAAAGTTTATCTTATATTTCAAACTGAATGGAGTATTATTTTAAACTTTGTTAAAGGAAGTTGGTTTTTTTTTATAAGATAACATTTATTTTTGTCTAAGTATTTAATGAGTTTTTTTTAATTTTATCCTCATATATTCTCTTTTTTCTTTAATTTATTTATTGCTCTTTTTTACTAATAAGAGTATATTTGAAAAAAAATACATGTCTTACATATTTATTATTTTAAAATGATTTTAACTAATTTTTTGATAAACATAAATAGATAAAATTTATCTTATATTTTAAACTGAATGGAGTATTATTTTAAAACCAAGGCACCCTCAAAAGCTCTGCTTATAAATCTAATTGCTTTGTGCGTGGGAGAGGGAGAGGGAGGACCTTTTCCCTGTGATAGACGGCTGGATTTAATAGAAACAACCGGCTAGGATCGCGCGTCGACCTGATGGAGGATGAGGTTGACTTGAATTTAACTATGCAGAGATGGAGTCAATACGCACAACCAAACCAGGTCTTGAGGAATATAATTTCCCTACGTGATAGTTGAGGACAATTCATATGAATATTCTTGTTTACGTTATTTTCTCTGGCATGTGGACACACACACACATCTAGTGCGAAGCTAAACTCCATTTTCATCGTCCATGAGTTATTTATAACACCGTATGATTAAGTTGCTGACACCCAAAAAAAAAATGATTAAGCTGTTCGTTATCAATTTGCGTACAGTGAAAATATTCTCCCAGTGCGTACTTTCACAAAAGGAAAAAGTCAGAGGTTACCCCCCAGCCCATTTTTATCGTCTTAAGTGGCTCCAACAACAGCCCACGATTAAAAAGTATGTGACTTGAACCCCGCGGGGTTAGGTCGACTGGCTGGGGTCGTCCTAGCTTAACCACGGATTTCGGGTTTGAGACGTGGGAACGCAGCACTCCAAGGGGCCAGGAGACGCCGTCCGTATGGATCCTTGCAAGCCCCCAAATCTGGATTAGTCTGGGGACGTTGTCACGGCTGAAAGACGCCTATTTCCCTGGGATACCGGATGGAGTAATCCAAAAACAAAAACAAAAGTATGTGACTTGTGATGTTATGTTAATATGTTATTGGTGATATTAAATTTCCCTTTCACAAAGTTGACAAAACTAATTTGAAATTGAATGACCGACTTGACAACTGGATACAACGAAAATCCTCAAATTATGACACGGTTTCAGAATGCCTCAATCCCCAACATATTTTCACATGTACCAAGTGAGAGAGATCATATCAAGAATTAGACTACAATTAATTAGTGCGCAATAATTGACTAAAATAGTTAAAATTAAACGATCGATGTGACGTGATTTTTTTTCTTTGGGCTCATGCATGCACGCGAACGCTTTTGCGAACGTCTCTTTTTCCGCTTTCTGATCTTGGCCTTCCCTCTTAATTTCTTCTCTATTAATTAACACTGTTTATATTTTAAATATAAGACTTATTTTATAATGCAATTTATTCTTTTCGTCTTATTTATAGGATAAAGAGAAAATAATTTTTGATCCTATTTATAAGTCACTTTATTAAATTTTTAACATTTATGTACTGTTTTGTTCTTTATTTATTAGAGTCTAGATAATTATCTTTTTGGAAAAGTGCATTTATTACATAAGAATAAGGTTGAAAAGTTATTATATTTTAATTAGTGGAGAGTTAATACAATTTAAGTTTTTCTTGGTCTGTGTGAACTACGTTAGAAATGCCTTATAAATATGACTAAAGAAGTATGTTACAAAATAGGTCTTATATTTAGAACCAGAAGAGTAGTTACTTATCCCCTTCTTAGGTATTCATTTTTCTTAAATTTAATTATATGATTCTCCACTGAGCCCCTGTTGACCCAACTAATATTTCGTGAATATGTACGAGTACTGTTTTTCCCATCTTTATATGTCATTGAAGGCCTATGTTCTCCAAGAGGAAGAAAAGCTTTTAGAGTTGGTGGATCGACGTCTTGGTTCAAACTACTCTCAAGATGAAGCCATGAGAATGCTAAATTTGGCTCTTTTGTGCACTAATCTATCTCCCGCCCTCGGACCCTCCATATCATCTGTAGTGAGCATATGCTTGAGGGAAAAACTCCAATTCAAGCACCGATAAACAAGCTCAAAGACCAATATGCAAGGTTCAAAATGCTGTCGTATGACAGCCAGGCATTTGTAGCCTCTCAATCAAGTATGGAACAAAGAGGCAAGTCAACAGATGGGTTATGGGTTGACTCCTCAATATCTCTTCTGAGTAAGGATGATTTTTCTTCATCTAGTAAGCTTCTTGAAGATTAAAATTTAATGGTTGGAAACCGTAGTTATAGAATTTGTATTATGTTATAATAATGATATTTGTTTGAAATATAGATTGTCTTTATTTATTTTTGTGAATTATTTAGGTTTATCTTATTTAACTTTTCAATAATTACACTTAGAGCTCTGTAAATAACCCTCAGGTTATTTTGATGTTAGACTTTTAGCCTATTGAACAATACTAAGATCATTTGTCTTTTGCTTCTTATAGTTTCTCTCTATTTCTCCCCCTTTTCTTCTCTTTTCTCCTTTTACGCATGATTTGTTCATCAGGCAGGAAGAAAACTTGCATGTATTTTTCAATTCTTTAGTAAAGGAGTAAACAAGAATAGTAGGCTTTGTGGAAAAAGAATCGTAGAGTAATTATTTGTACAATGTCAAACGAAATACATTGAGTCATATACCAAGTTTTGAATGTACGCTTAAACTTTAATTATCAAATGTGGTATTTTTCCCCTAAAACAAATCCTTTTGAAGTTTAATCAATCTTAGTGTTATAGCTCCAACTGGCTTATTTATATTAGGCATCAATTAACACCTAACATTGCATTTGTTATCAGCTAAAGTTTGTACATGTACGATATTATAACACAAAGCAGCATAGCCCAATGCTTGCACTCACCCATTTATATGGTTTAACCACAGGCTACGTTCTTTTGTTGCCAATTTCTTGATAGCAGCTGTTTTTTTCTCTTCTTTTTAAGGATAAAAGGATCAACATATACTTACGATCTGCAGTGGTAGAACATGCATCTACGTTCAAAATGCAAAAGTCATATATATATGATCAGCGTACCTTGAGCTGGTGAAGAGAAAATTCCAAAGCAAAAGAAGTGTATTTCGCAGTGCTTCTTCTCCTTGACTGAAATATAAAGGAATGAAGAATAGAGTCGTCTTTTGTGGTTCTTTCCTTCGATATGTCTACTGCAATCCTTTTAATTCCTTCACACTTCGTCCCTGTGTTGTTCCCTGAATCAATCACACTTTGCCCCAAAGCTAGCGGTTAAGGGTGGAACAGGGAAAGATGGTGAATCCAGAAAGTTCAATCTCATTTCATTTGGAGTTTCAGGCTACAGCGTATTAGTTCCTTAGTTCTGACCATCTTTAACATAGGCTTGTGCCTGGTTAACTCACACTTGGGCCAAGCCTAATAACTAAAATCGTTTTTACACATTCAATTGAAAAAAATAAAGGTATTTCAGACACAAATGATTTAAATTAAATATAAAGGTATGTTTCACATCATTCGGGAATCATCAATACTTTGGGATCCGATGAATCAATAGGCAAAACATTATTTTTACTAACAAGACTAACAATTCTACAGTCTACTACTGACCACAATAGAAATGCATCCATACATGACCCGTTCCAGATATTTCTGAGAAGTGAGAAGTATATATCAGGCCGCGGCTTCAGATGAGAATTTATAGTACAATATTAACGTAATATATCCATCAAACTATGGTAAGATAAACATGTTTAACTTGAGGAGGCCATGTTTAAGATATATACAGCTAGTTGGTTTTCTCTCAGGAAGAAGAATCTTTACTGGCCTGATAGAATTCTAAAAGGGGTTGAGATGTGGTCTGACACTCATGGCTTGACGAGTTTATGGCCTGATTAGTCTCATCTTTATCAGCTTCTTCTTTCATGGCCGATTTCAATTTCAAGTCATCATCCATAATCTCACTTTCAACATCTGAGACTACCTCCAGATCAGCAGGCCTGCCTTCAAGAATGCTAAGCACTTTAGACATGGTAGGCCTAAGTTTTGGATTGTTTTCAGTGCATTGGAGAGCCACATCAATCATAGTCATTATTTCCTCTCTATTAAAGTCCTCACCCAACTTTGGATCCACCATATCCATCAAATTACCTCCGTCTTTCAACTGATGTGCCTGATAACAACAGTACATATAAATGGACGCCTTATAAGCCAGTGTACACAATTTAATTTGGAAAAGCTGAGCTATCTACTTAATTTATCGGGATGTAGGATACCCAATCACGCAGATAAAAGCATTCTTCCTCTGACTTTTGAGTGGTGTTGATCTTGCCACTGATAATTTCCAAAGCAACGATTCCAAAACTATAAACATCTGCTTTCTTAGTCAAATATCCATGCATTGCATATTCAGGAGCCATATAACCACTGCATAATAAAATTTCATTCATAAAATAAGAGTTAATAAAGCCAAATGCCCTGCATTTTTGTTTCTTTGCATTGTATTACCTTCAATTAAAATTATTATCAATTTCACAAAGGAGGTGTCCACTACCATATTTGTATTTTCATCTCCCACGTGTTATCCAAACAAACATAACTTAAAAACATTTAATAATTAACTAACCAAGTTCCAGCAATTCTGGTGCTAATGTGTGTATTTTCCTCCTCGTAAAGCTTGGCCAAACCAAAATCAGATATCTTGGGGTTGAGATCTTTATCAAGCAACACATTAGTGGCCTTGATGTCTCTATGAACAATTTTAAATCTTGATTCTTCATGAAGGTAAGCCAAACCTCTCGCAATCCCAATACAAATCTTGTGTCTTGTTGGCCACTCCAATTTTATCTGGAGTTCTTCTGGGCCTATGTTTTTTAATAAAAACACGAATTAGACTCCATTCTCACATAACCAAGATACTACTCTGTCTCTTATTACAAGATCTTTTTAACTAAATTACACGATTTAATAAAACAGTTAAAATTAATTAAAAGCAATTAATATGTAGTAAATGTAATTTTTTTTCCAAATATACCCCTGCACATAAATGGATAAATGTGAGAGAGTAATAATGAAATAAATGAAGAAAGAGAATGTATTAAATACATTAAATTAGGGGTAAAATAGGTAATACTGCATTAAATGCTCAAACAAGCTCAAATAGGATCTTATAAAAAGGGACAAACCTATTCAAAAAATTGGATCTTATAATAAGAGACGGAGAGAGTATAAGATAGTGGATCGTCATAGAGCAAAGCAAGCCAAAAACATTTAGTAATTTACCCAATAAAGCGCGAGCAAGACTATTGTTATCCATAAACTCATATATGAGCAACAAGTGATCTCCTTCAATGCAACAGCCATGAAGCTTAACAAGACAAGGGTGTTGCAAAGCAAAAATCATGCCTATTTCATTTAGAAATTCACGATTTCCTTGCCTTGATTTAGTAGATAGCTGTTTAACTGCAATTATTCTGCCATCTTTGAGAATGCCCTGTGTTTTTGGATATAAGAAATAAAGTTATAGAAAAGTTGAAATGGATTTTAATTTCAGGTAAGCAAGAGTCACAAATTGATCATGCATGTACTTTAATAGAACATATCGTCCTGTAACAACCTTATAAACAGGACCAAACCCTCCTTCTCCAATCTTATTATCAGCATTGAAGTTGTTCATTGCTGCTTTGATTTCCTTTAAGGTAAATATACCGGTTTTAAGATCCAAGCCCTTAAGATCTGTTTATAAAAGAAATAAAAGATTAGAGAGCTAGAATCTCCATTAATTGATATACTGATAGTTCACAATCATGCATAAGGTGAAAATACATTAGACACCAAAATTCATAATGTAGAAATACAAAGCCCATTTCCAAGGGAAAAAAGTTATCCATGAACAGATTGGTTAGCATGACAAAAATAATTAAAAGTATATTGTTAATGAAGTTTTATTAGCAAAACCTAAATTAGCTTATTTTATGCTCCAATATTACCTATGTCTTGTGAATCTTTCCCATAAAGGATACCATTCTTTCGAAGGATAATGAGTAACACCAGTATGAGGAATACACATAATCCAACCATAATTCCAACAACAGCTCCAGCAGAAAACCCTTTTTCATTCCTTTGGTTATCAACAGAGAGCCCTTGTGAAGGAACTTTAAAGTCTGCGACCAAGAATAAATGCTTACACCACATAACATGATGTAGTTTATAAGAAAACAGCAAGTCATATAAGGGGGGGAAAAGGAACAAGAAAGTATAAGAAAAAGAATAAGAAAATTATTATAATAAAAAGAATTATGAAAGAGAGAGAATGTGTGATGGAGATGGATGATAGTTTAGAAAATGAGACAATAAATATATTAAATATTAAAATAAGCAATTAATAAGGACAAAATAAGAAATTTGCTACAAAAATTTAAAACGACTTGCAAATGTTACTTATCTTTAGGAACAAGAAGCGATGATAATTGTTACTTATAAAAGGGGATGGAGGGAGTATTATTATGTTTACAATAATTAGATTTTAAGATATACTTCTTCATGTTTTTAATATAAAAGCTTGTTTGACTTTTATTTTGATACTAAATATACGATCTTAATCCACTTTATCCCTCATATTTATTTATATTTTTTCTAAGGTAGTTCTTATAATAATAGCAGTTCTAACCAATACACTTGATTAGTAAAAATATTTTAGAAACACAACATCTATTTATTATAAATAATTAACTTAATTAGTTTTTTAATCTACTTAAATTAGTCAATTAGTTCTTATTTTATATTAAGGACCGGAGGTAGTAGTCAAAACATTTATAATTTGTAAATTGTGTGATTTAGAATATATTCTGTACTTTATAATTCACCTATGTTGCCCAAAAACTACTAATATAATATTATAACTCTATAGTTTATTCAATATTCACGAATTTGGTTGTCAATTTCTTTACTTAAAAATAACTTTGTGAAAGTCTTCGAAAAAACAAAGTTCTGAATCGTTGTAAGCAAGCAGGTAAGATAGCGTCTGATTTAAAAAAAAAGAGAGAAAAATCTATGTTGCTCGATACGGATGACTGAGAAATGTCAGTATGTCACTAATGACTGTTAATTCTACCAAAATGCAATTTTTTTTAATGTTAAACGCAATTAAATTCAGTTAGCAAACTATAAAAAAAAAGAGTTTATTTAATTTTATAAACATAAAAACGCAGGAAAAATTGAGGAAAAGAGTCACTATATTACACTTTATTTGGACTGAAAAAGTCTTCTTTAATATTACAGCTGCTCATCATTTACATGGCAAAAAATTCTGACTCTTCTTCATAATTTTCATGTTTTTTCGTTTAAACAATTTTTTCTTGATATATTTTTTTAAAATTTTTCAGGGCATAGCTTATATTGTTCTACTTTTTTACTTTGTAAACTTTAAAATTATATATATTATTTTGTCTTTTATTGGAAAAAGGAAAAAGTCACTATTCAAAATTTTATTAATGAAAAAATTTAACTCAAGCGATCTATATTACTTTTGTATAAAATTGGCATAATATTAATAGTTTTTGTATACAAAAATTTATCAAATTTCTTTTACTACTATTACCTTCTATCTTAAATATTAGCAGAATTTTAATAGTTTTTGTATACAAAAATTCATCAAATTTCCTTTATTAATACTACCTCCTATCTTAAATGCAAAACCTAATGCATTCTGTAAATTAGATCGCATATTTAGCACAGTAAAAATTTTTAAGAAAAAAAGAAGACTGTGAGAGGGACGTGCCACGTGGCACGTATGTCTACTCTTCATCTCCTATGAGACCTTGTCCATTCAAATAATCTAAAAGCTTGCAATGCGTCAGATCAAGCTACTCTACTCCTCTGGTTATAAATATAAAATCTTTTTTGTAATGTAAATTATATTATAAAAAGAATGATCGGAGGAATATTAAAATAATCTTTCCCTAGTACGTCCAATGGTTCAAGGATCCCATGAAAATATCAGTCTTCCACACTCTGGCCACCCTCTCCTCTTCTGGAGTGGCTGGATCTTCACATAACTGGGATAAATTTTTCTTTATATTTATTTTATATATTGTAAAAATTATTTTTAAAATTATAATTTGGTTCCATTTAAACACCTTTCCGTATCTCTCGACTCAGCCTCATAATTGAATCTCGCCGACTCGATCCAGGTTCTTATCCTGGAGAAATCCAAAGATTATAGTCCAACGTTAATCATATAACTTGAAAAGCATCCCATTCTCTATCACTCTCATCCTTCACTCTTCTATCTGGTCATGAGCTTCTTTCACGTCCAATCCTCTCTCCACGTTTTCCTCATAATAGCTCAGCCCAATTTTCAAAAGCTTCCGCAATAATTCGCTCTTACTATTCTCAATCCCTCCCATTTCAACATCAAGCATTTCACTTGCGCTATGCTTCTCTCTATCATTCTGCTCATCCAACTCGCTGTGTTTCGAACCACAGCGTTGTCCTTTTAGATGGTTCTCTGAGGATTTTCCCTTAAAAATCTCCAGAATCACGATGCCCAAACTCTATGACCGGTCTCCTTCCTGACCTGACCCGGCCATGTTGCGCGTACTCCAGCGACTTGTGAGCTTTTAGATCATTTTGGACGGACAGAATTTTAGAACGGTGATGAGAAAAATAATACTGAGAGGATCTGATTCCGACAAAAACCATCACCACCCCAAGAGAACGTACAATTGCAGACTAGGTGTTCATTTGAGCACGAAATGAAGAAGTGGGCCCCATGCCCCTTCTACGTGATATCCAAGGGGACTATTACGTTGACTGAGTCAGATGGTGGACCTGACCAAGTTGGCTCTGGAATTAAAATCCACATTTCCCCACACATAGTGGTTGAGGTTTCTATTTTCAATTCATTAGACAATGAAGTTGAATATTCATTTCCCTTTTTCAATTGGCCGCTTACTGCGACACTAAATTTCGTTTTATTTTTCAGAGCCTCTTACCACAATAACACTGAATGTTTCTTTAAATCTTTCTTGGTCCCTAAGGTTGCCAACTTGATATTTCTGTGAGTAGGATGGAGGCTTTTGTCGCTTACTCGTAATTCTGTTAGGTCAAGGATGGCAAAACAAACTCTATTTTTCATTCTTCACCTTCTATGAATTATTTATAAGATTATCATCATAAATAAATATACTTATGAAGTCTTAATTACCACTTCTCTGGTCCTATTTATAAACCACTTTCAATATACTTCATGCAAATAAAAAAAACATTAAACTTTATTAATTCTCATTTAAATTCAATAATTTTTTTACTTTATCTTCATTTAATATACATTATACCTCATATAAATAAAATCAACATAATAAAATAAAGAGTAAAATTATACATTAATACCAAAAAAATTTCTCAGTACTTTATAAATATGATGAAAAACATGTTCTCTCTGTGGCCTATAAATAAGACTAGAGAAGTACAACACTATAAAAATTGATTGTTAATTATTAACGATAGAATTGAGAGAAAAATAAGTGGGGAACACATTTGATGAGAAAGACTAACTTCAATAAATTTTCATAATATGTCGGCAAAAAAAAATATTTTCATAATATATGTAAAGTATGTAATTGTAAATGGATGACCAATTAATGATAATAAATTAGCGGGCCATAATAGAATGAAGTGCTAGTAAAATTGAACGCGTGGTTTGACTTATATGCATGCACACTTTTCCGAATGCCCCTTTCTTCACTTGACAGTTCTCCCTCTCTCTCATAAAAGATGTTACGTCAGCTCCTTAATATAATTAAAAAAAATTACTTACATTATTTATAATAAATAAGCATTCTTTTTTTTAAAATATTATAATTAATCAAATACATTAAAATAAAAATCTTTTCATACATGTAACCATTGTGGGAACTACTCTAAATAAATATAAAAAATAAAATAAATTAAAATGTTATATTTAAAATAAGATTAAATTTTTAATTAACTATTATATTTAAAATCAGAAGTAATATTTAGATTATAAGAGTATCTTGTGCCATGCATAAAAGACGCCAACTTCTTGTTTTTCTTTTTTTTCATACAATGAGAAAAGAAGCCGAATTCTCATATCTAAAAACATTTGATTTTCTTGTGTGTTAATAACATTAATTATTAAAAGTCACCGTCTAACTCTTTAAATAAGAATTTTTTTTTAAGAAATAGTTTAAATCTAAATGCTTTGTTCTGGGAAGTACAAATTTACAATCCTGATTTCGTTCCTCTTTCTTTTCTTTTTCTTTTTCTTTTCCTCGAAAGGCAGGCTCTGCCATCACCGCCTAAATTAAGTTATCTAAAAGCGTTTCTTTTGTCGAGTCCCACTCAAAAGTTGATATCGGTCAATGCGGGTTGCTCATCCAAGTCCAGATTTCCGTTAAGTACACTTTTTTCATACTACTTTACATTTTTAACATAAAAATCAGTTATCTATAATAAATATGTGTTATCTTTCATAAAATACTCTTATTAATCATATATATTAGCTAAAACTATCTTTTGATAAAATATTTGACTTGTGAAACTACTACAAAAACTACTTTAAAAAATAAATAAATATAAAAAATAGAGTGAATTAAAATTTTGTATTTATAATCAAATTAAATGTTAAATTAACTCTTATATTAAATACAGGAAATAGTATGAATGGGCTGCCAAGAGGAAGACATATGGTTATTTTGCTTTCTCTAGGTTCATGCACAAAATCGAATTTTCACCCAACTCTAAACTCACGATTTCATCAATTTGCGTACCAAGTGGGATCATATAGATAATTAGACTATAATTAATTAGGGTGTAATAATAGATTACAACTGTTAAACGATCGATTACGTGTCTTTTTTTAGCTCAAAGTACATGCATGCGAAGGCTTCTGCGAATGTCCCTTTTTCCACTTTCCGCCCCTGGCACTCTCTTTTAATATCTTCTCTATTAATTAATTATCCCCTTTTCAATTATTCATTTTTCCAAAATTTAATTATATGATTCTCCCCTAACGAATATTTTAGTTTGGACTTTATGCCATGATCAATAATTTGTGGCCTACATGATTTTCTATCCACTTTTTTCTTTGATTAGAACTGGAAGTGTAATTTCATCAAAAGAAATTAGAATTATGTATAATAAGAAAATAGAAATAATAATAACGATAATAGAAAGTACATATGTTTGCGTTTTTTTTTTTGGGTAAAACTCGTCAGACTCCTTCAGTGGATTAGTTGAGTTATATTTTGAGTTTTGGGTTCATATAATTTTTGGGTCCTAAAATTTAGGTCTATTTTGATTTTTATCCTTCAAATTTCAACTCAAGTTTTAGTCCTTAAAATTTAGTTCTTTTTAAAAAGTTTGTCATTGAAGATGTAACAATATTAAAATATACTAAAGTGTCATAAAGAATATTAAAGTGCTTATGTAAATTTACCGGATGACATTTAACTGAATCTTGTGTGGATAACAGAAAAGGGGGGGGAAAAAAGAACAACTCCTAAAAACACAGCTCCTTAGTCTCCTAACTCTTCTTTCTTGCTGTTCATTTTTAAGAGTTGTTTATTGCGCTGCACTCTGTTATTCACATAAAATCCAGTTACGCATCAGCTAGTAAATCCACATCACCAATTTTAACATCACTGATAACACTTCAGCAGATTTTAATACAATTACATTGTCAGGAACTAATATTTTAAAACATGAAATTTTAGGAACTAAGACTACGTGTTTAAAATTTGAAGGACTAAAATCAAAATGAATTCAAATTTTAAAGACCAAATAATATATTAAGTCTTGAGTTTTCTATGAAAAATTTTATAGGGATTCAGCCCCCCAAAAAAGGTAATTTTTACAAGAACGCTAGACAAATATTTGTAACGAGAAAAAATAAATAAAATAATGCCCAAATATTATATAGTTATAGGTGATAAGGAAAAACACATGCCATGGTATGATCTCAAAGCTGTAGTCTTTATCCATAAAAAATTACGTAATTCACATGAAAAAATTTCTCATGAATTATAATATCACACATATCAAGATATCACGCCATTAATTAATTGCAATTAGAATCTTTAGAAGCAATCATATTCAAGATATCATAACATATTAAATGTAGGTATTTTTCTTAATAGATATTTAAATTTTAGTTTGTTATTGTGAAGAACTAACCCATTCTATTAAACACAATCCTATTAATTAGTAGTACGCTTTTTTTATTAATAATAATGTTTAGAAAAAGTCAGCAACCTCGACTGTTTTTTTTTGGTGAACTGCAACCTCGACTGTTTTGTGAACACTACAAAGTGAAAAACAAACAACTCATCTCAAGCGTGAAACCAAACCATGCAATCTTTTCTTGAGTTGGAATGGTTCAAGAGTTGAAAGCAATTAGAGCTGATAAGGGGGGGAAAAGGAAGAGATCAGAGTTTCTTAACATTCTCTCGAGGCTTGTCCAATTCTGAATAAAATCAGGTATCTTCCCAGAAAATTGATTGTCTCCAATTCGACTGCCATTATGCGCGATGCAAGAAGTAAAACTTACGTTAGTTAAGACTTTATTTGAACTGAAATAAACAACATATATAGTTTAGTCATGAGGACAATATTGAGAGTATAATAACGGAAGAAGCTTAAAATTCTCTCAGTGCTGTGAGGTTGGCTAATGTAGGAGGTAACTCTCCAGTAAAGTTATTGGAGTTAAGCAGCCTTGGTTGACAACCAACAGCTTATATATGAACATAAGCAAATGGATCGAATTCAAATTTCAAAGCGCGCGCGCGCGCGCGCACACACATATAGTCAATCAACGAGCACATGGACAGATTAAATTAGTAAGTTGAGACGGTGATTACAAATGGCAAATCAAAACAAGGGCTTATTACAATCTTTTATTCTTGATGAGACTCCGAAGCTCCGGAGGAAGACTTCCAGAAAATTGATTGAACTCCAAGTCCCTATCCATCTTATTAGGCCAAGTTAAAGCTTTCATGAAATGACAAAGGGGAAACAATTCGTTGAGATTATATATAATTGACAGAACTCACAAACTCAGAAGAGTGGAAATGTTTCCTAGCTCCGGTGGGATCGTTCCCGTCAGCCGATTTCCGAAAACCGAACTACCATAATTAAGAACAACGCATCCATTATCAGATTCATGTTAACTAGACGAAAATGTAATCATGTTCTCTAAACTCGATCAAAATCAGAATGTGAGAGCGGGGAGATTACACTATGGCAAGTTTCGTGGAGCCCCATTCTGGAGAGATTTTGCCACCAAGGTAATTGCGAGTGAGATCACTACATATGCCCACAAGAGAGAAAGAAATCAATTGATCGATGATGAAACAAAACCCAGTGTTACTAAATGTGAGAGTTTCAGTTTAACAATGGGTTAAACAGCAAATTTGTCCCGAAAACTTTTGTTTAGAAGAGCTGAGCACCCAATTTTTTTTTAATACAAATTTACCTCTAAAAGTATAAAATTGTTGCAATTTTACCCCTTACTGTTAGAATAGTAATATTGACCATTCATATTTTTAACAATGGATACCAAATTTGTTATGGTTTTAAACTTTCAAGCAAATTTGCCTCCTAAAAAAAAAATTTAGTGCTTAGTGCTCATGAGTAAAAACTTTCAAAACAAATTTGTACGTTAACCTATTTAGAAAACATACATTTGTGTAAGGCAAGGTAGCCCTGTCAGTTCTGGCGGCAGAGTCCCAGAGAGATTTTGTGATTTCAGTCGACTACGCATTAATCCCACCATGAAGACGAAGACTGTCAAATTAAACAACAACTAACAACATTACAACAATGTTACGTTATGAGTTTTGCTTTCACAAATTATAAATATTCAGGTAAGATAGCGTCTGGTTATTTTTACAATTGAATTTCATATGAATCATTTTCTGATTCAAAAAGAGAAATATCTGTGTTGCTCGATGCTGATGACTGAGAGAGATGTCACTGATTTTACAAGATAATATTCAATTACAAATTAAAAGCAAAAAAAAATCAGTTTGTTTCTTTAGACAGTTACAACAATACATCATATTTACGGGGAGGAGATAACTTTCCCTTAACATTATTGAGGGTATTTATTTTTGTATTTTTCATTATTCTCCACCTCTTAACCAAGAACGGAAGATAGTGATGAGAGAGAATAGGAGCTTTGGATTGGTGCTTGTATTTTGCTTCTTTTAGTTGAGTAATGAATTTCAGATTTTTATTAAAAAAAAAAAGAAATTGAGAAAAGGTGCCCCATTCAAAGATGTCAGTGAGAGAAACGTACATGTGCTGATAACATGACAAAGACCATCAGCACGAGGACAAGCATGCAGACGACAGCATTATCTTCGTCGTTTTTAGTCCAGTTACGAGTTCCAGTAGCAGTACATGGATCTACGTTGAAGTCCCAGTCCTTCTTTCCTGGTTTCCCAGCTATCTTTCTCAAAGCTTCCAATAAACATAGAGATAGACCTAATGGGATTCATAGTTTTTATATATATATATGCGCAGAGGATCCAGTTATGCATATGCGTGCCTATGTGTGTGCACCTTCATCTAGTGGAGTGACACCGAGGGCAAAAGGGGAGAAGGAGCACAATAAGGCAATAGTGAGAACAACTCGTGTTGTACTCCATGCTGCTTCCTCTTGGATTTACCGGTAAAAACCTTGAGATTTATTATTCCCTCCAATTCAACATATAAACTAAACTTTGTTATAAAAATTTGATATTTTTATGAGATAACATTCATTTTTGTCTAAATATTTAATGATTTTTTTTAAAATTTTACCTTCATATATTTTCTTTTCTTTTGAATTCATTTGTTGCTTTTTTTTTAACTTATTTTCTTCATTAATAAAGATATATTTGACAAAAAACATGCCTTACATATTTATTATTTAAAACTGATTTTAACTAATTTTTTGATAAATGTAACTAGATAAAATTTATTTTATATTTTAAACTGGATGGAGTATTATTTTAAAAACAAGGCAACCTCAAAAGCTCTGCTTATAAATCTAATTGCTTTGTGTGTGTGTGAGAGAGAGAGAGGACCTTTTCCCGGTGATAGACGGCTGGATTTGATAGAAACAAACGGCTGGGATCGCGTGTCGACCTGATGGAGGATGAGGTTGACTTGAATTTACCTATGCAGATATGGAGTGAATACGTACGACCAAGTCAGCTCCTGAGGAATATAATTTCCCTACGTGATAGTTGAGGTTTCAGTGCCTCGGACAATTCATCTGAATATTCTCGTTTACGTTATTTACTCCGGTTTATACTACCTCCGGTCTCAATATAAAAACTTTGAGTAGATTAAAAAAATAAATTAATTATTTGTAATAAATAAGTATTATTTTATTTAAAATATTTTTACTCATTAAATTTATTAGTTAGAACTAATATTATTAGGAGAATTATTTTTTAAAAAAATTAATATATATAAAAGACAAAATATATTAAAATCTTATATTTAAAATTAAAATAAAAATTAAGTAAAGTCCTATATTAATGATCGAAGGTAATATATTCACAAGTGTATCTAGTGCCAAACTAAACTCCATTTTCACCATCATGAGTTATTTGTAATACCCACATGATTAAGTTGCCGACACAAAAATAAAAAAAATCATTAAGGTGCTCGTTATCAATTTGGCTACAGTGAAAAGATTCTCCCAGTACGTATGTGCACAGTGACAAAGTCAGAGGTTGCCCGGCGAGCCCATCTTTAACGTGTCAAGTGGTTCCAACCACCGCCTGCTATTAAAGAGTATGATTGACCTGTGATGTTGTGTTAATATGTTATTGGTGATATTAAATTTCCTCTTGACAAAGTCATTAAAACTGATTTGGAATTTAATAACCGACTTGACAAGCGAACACAATGAAAATCCTCAAATTATGACACCATTTCAGAACACCTCAGGTCCCAGCATATTTTCACACGTACCAAGAGAGATCATATCAAGAATTAGGGGTGTTTAATTTGTCCCGTCCCGGTCGTCCCGTTCCGATTCCGGTGAGTTCGGGACGGGACGGGACAAAAAAAATTTTGGGACAGGACAAGTACGGGACGCTAGACGGGGTTGTCCCGTCCCGGGATTTTTTTTAAAAAAATTTATTTATTAATAATTATTATTAGATTATTCAATTTACTTATTAATTATTATTATTATTTTTATAGTGATTTTTAACTCTTAAGTTGTAATATTATCTAAACAATATCTCCTTCCTCAATAAAATAATTCATAAAGCCATTATATAGTGTTTATTTTATCTGTTTTTTTTTGTTACAGTATTGTTTTTACACCTTTTTTATACTATATAATTGAGCTTTCTACATAATATTTTTTATAATGTTTTTATCTTTAAAAGCCTAACAAAAAATAAGCATTATAACATAAAAAAATTTCATATAAAAAATTATAGTTTTTTTTAAAAAGGGAGGGGAACTGGACGTCCCGTCCCGTCCCGGTCCCGATGGGACCGGGACAAAACCGGGACGGGACGGGACGGGACACGGGACTAAAACCCTGTCCCGTCCCTGTTCACCGAGACGGGACCGAGACGGGCCTGTTCCGGTCCCGTCCCGTCCCGTGAACACCCCTATCAAGAATTAGACTACAATTAATTAGTGCGCAATAATGGACTAAAACTTATAGTTAAAATTAAACGATCGATGTGACATGATTTTTTGTTGGGCTCATGCATGCATGCGAAGGCTTCTGCGAACGTGCCTTTTTCCGCTTTCCGACCTTGGCCGTCCCTCTGGATTTCTTCTCTATTAATTAACTCTGTTTATATTTTAAATATAAAACTTATTTTATAATATAAATTATTTTTTAGTCTTATTTATATGATAAAGAGAAAATAATTTTTTATCCTGTTTCTAAGCCACTTTATTAACTTTTTAGTATTTATGTACTATTTAGTCTTTTATTTATTAGAGTCTAGATAATTATTTTTTTGAAAAGTGCATTTATTGCATAAGGGTAAGATTGAAAAGTTATTATATTTTAATTAGTGTAGAGTTAATAAAGTTTAAATTTTTCTTGATTTGTGTGAAACATGTTGGAAGTCTCTTATAAAATATGATTACGAAGAGCACATGTCATGTTATGATCTCAACTAAACAATTGTCTTGATGGGAAAACAATAAGAAAGAAAACTATATTCTTTATCCGTGAAAAAATACATTTACATGAAAATATTTCTCATTATAATATAACCTATCACAAAATAAAATGATTAACCAAGCGATTTACAATTAATTAAAGCCTAGGGAAAAGTGATTTATAAATTTCAAATGAGAAAATGGGTTTTGGATGCAATCATAATCAAAATATTATTGGATATTAAATGTGAAAAATGAGCGCCTATTCAAGTCTTAAATTATTATGTTATGAGAAACTATTTTTTTTCACTAGATTTAACCGATTGGCAGCAGTACAAATTATTATTAATAATGTTTGGACAATTACGTGAGTAACATTCTGAGCTGACTCTTTGATTATATCCGTGAAGACTACAAAGTCAAAAACAAACAACTCTCAAGCGTGAAACCATGCATGTGCATTATTAAAAGTTAAAGTAGACAAAAATTAATACTCCTCCCTGTCATTTTGAATATACTGTGATCATTTAAGTTGTGAATCATGTGATGATTATTGGCAGATCCCGCATAAAAAGCTGCCTAATTAAACTAGTAAACTACGAGTTAACAAAAGTAAGTCGCATGCATAATAAATAATGTGAAAAAAAGCTTTTACTCGTTAACACATATAAAGACATTATTTTATCGATTATATTATTTTATATTACGTTACATCCAATTATTTATCTTTTAAATTATATATATGTATTCCCTACATTCATACACACACACATATATATATGGGAAAATTTCTCTTAGAACGAATATTAATAACAGAGCAAATATAAGATTTTTGAAGACTGAGTTAGAAAAGCTGCAAAATTAGTGAAATAAGAACATCACCTCTTGCAAGTATTCTGTGAGTGTAAGTTGTAAGACTAAGAAATTTTTTAAAGAAGTAAAAAAGAAAAGTTGGAAAATTAGTGAGAAAACTCGTAAAAGCTAACAATTTTCATAGAATTTTAAGATTCTTGATATAAATAATTCTATAAAAATTGGTCCTTTATGTATAAACATGTTTCATCATTAATACTAATTTTTATTAACTAATAACTTTGATTTTTAATATAAAATCTAATTTATAATTTAAAATAAATTACAAACTAAGTCTTATGTTAAAGAATTAAATAAGCATTCACGCACTTTTTACTCCGTTCGCTTGGTGTGGCTGCGCATCCCAAATTTCGCATTGAAAAATCAATTCTTAAAAGTTAAAGCTTTGTCGCCCTCGGACCCTCCAACACAAATCTTCCGAATTCTAAATTTGCCTCTGCCCTTTGTCTCTGTGTATATTTCGTTCTTCATTCTCGACACCTCTCCTTCAGAACCAACTTTGCGATGTCAAGCTCCAAAGTTGTCTCTGTTTTCTTCTTCGGATTTTTGCTTCTCTGTTTCTTCACAGACTCTCCTGCCAACGCTCAACTTATACCCCAAGATGAAGGTACTTTCTCCATTGCTGCTCTCTGCTTTTCATTCGACTATCGTCTTCATCTTTTTTTCCTTTAGTCTTCTGCTTGAAAATGTTTCTTTCTCGTTTCTCAAACGTTTTCAATCATTCGGAACCGCAGAAACTCTGCAATCTTGTTCTTGTCTTCTTATTCAAAGCCCTGCGGAAAGAAACTACTTTTAAACTGATAAACTCTTGTGTTCTTCATCACTTTAAAGATTGATATAGAAGGCATAAAAAAGGGCGAATATTTGTAACGATTTACTAGCGATTGTTTAATAGTGCAAGTGGGTTTGAAAAAGATTAGAACTTTTGCATCAGATTCCTCTGTTTTTAAACTTTCATCACTTGTTCTGTGTCTGGGATCCTGATGGGTGTTTCTTGATGCACGAGGATTCACAGGTTCATAAATCTTACCGGAATCATCTTATTTTCCAGTCGTTTACTCAAGCCGTTAACACTTAGTTTCATCACAGTTTAACGTTCAGATTGTAACTTGTGGTATATTTCATGTTGTTCTTCATTCTTCTGCTTCTAATGGCGAATTCTTAATAATTATGAGTCTGACTCGTCTTTGCTTTGAGTTTCAATCCTAAATATAAAACTCACTTTTTATTATAATTTATATTAAAAAATGAGTCTTATATTTATTTAGAACCGGGAGAGTATTTTATTTGCGAGGTTCATTACTTTTTTTTTTTTTCTGGGGTCATAATTGACGTACTTTAATGGAGGCATGGTGAATTGGCAATGTAATGTGAAACCGCTACCCTCTTTGCCAACTGGGGATCACAGTACTATAGGCGTCACTGTCGTTTTTTGGTTTTTTCCAAAAACATCATCTGCATCTCCAGCAATCAAAATTTAATGCATTAATTGATAATATATTTATATATATAATTGGTCTAATTCAAATAATTGAGAAAGCATCAAACTGATGGTACTCTGAAAACCTAACAGACAAAGTATGCTATTTATAGTGATTGAAAGTGACATATTTCACAAATACGTGTGGACCCCAATGGCCAAACA